TACCCTGCAACACACGGAAGAAGTCCTCTCTCGGCCCCTGCTGTTCCCTGGCCTGGGTAACTCCCCTTCCTTTCTTCCTGGCCAGTGCCTGCCTATCTTTCAGGCCTTGGCTTAGCTCTGACCTTCTTCCGGAAGGTTCCCTGGCCCTCAGACTAGTCACTGGACCTCCCCTTTTGCTTGCCATCTCACTTCCCCGGCTAGGAGGCCGAGGGCTACAGCTGTCCCGGGGTCTGGTCTAGGTGTTCATTCACGGAAAACGGATGAAAGAACAAAACAAGCACACGTGCCTTTCTCCACCCCTCTTCTGCTTGCGTTTCTCTGACAGCACTGGGCCCTCCGTCCTCCTGGAGACCCAGGCCGCCCTGAGCTCAGGCCCATCTCACAGTGGCCCACCCTGTGGCTCCCCACTTTCAGAAGGCGCACGGGGACCAGGCTCACGCAGCCACCGCAGTCCCCACACCGGGACGGGCGCCTGCACTGCTGCAGGGCGGGGAGTGTCTGGTGGGCGACTCGGCCCTGCACGGGGCAGACGCTTCCTCACCATCCCGCGCATTTGTTCGTTTCCTCTCCATCCCGCGCATTTGTTCGCTTCCTCTCCATCCCGCGCATTTGTTCGCTTCCTCTCCATCCCGCGCATTTGTTCGCTTCCTCTCCATCCCGCGCATTTGTTCGCTTCCTCTCCATCCCGCGCATTTGTTCGCTTCCTCTCCATCCCGCGCATTTGTTCGCTTCCTCTCCATCCCGCGCATCTGTTCGCTTCCTCTCCATCCCGCGCATCTGTTCGCTGCCTCTCCATCCGTGCATTTGTTCGGGGCTTTCTGGTGGCAGTGGCTTTGCTGCTGGTCCCTCCGTCTCCCGGCAGCTCTGGGAGGGAGCTGTGGTGGGGACGGGCCCAGACCCAGGGTGGGGGTGGGCTTTTCCAGGTCCGACCGATCGGCTGCGGGGCCTCGGGCAGGCACTTACCCCTCTGGGCCTTTTGGCCCCTGAAACACGGAGCCAACCATCTTTCCTCATCTCTGGGCCATCCGTCTGTCAACCTTGTCAGGAACGGCCGGCATCTGAGACGCTGCGTGTGAACCAAATGGCTGGAAAGTGAATTATTTCCAACCTTTCACTTTTAGACTCACCGCTAGGGAATTTAGGAGGTGCAGTGCCGAAGGAAAGAAAGTAGCACTGCCTGCAGTGTGACAACCCCGCTGAGGATCTAATGTACATCTTTGAAGATGTTGTGAGGCGGGTGGGATCCATGAAACTGCCCCAACGGGGCGCCCGCGCTGGTCCGGCGGCTGTGAGCGCGGCCGGGGCTGTGGGACGGGCGCCGCTTCCCTCGCCGCCTCGGTGAAGCTCCGGGCGGGTGAAGGCACCGAGTGCGCGCCGGCGTCCTAGAGAGGCCGCGGGCGGACTTCCGGCCTCCAGCCGCCGACGGAAGCGACGCCCGCCGCGGAGGGAGGGCCGGGCGCGCATCCGGCACCTGTCGGCTCCCCGGGCTGCCTGGCCGGCAGCCTGTGAGCGGGGCTGCTGGGCTGGGCCCCTGCCGACGTGTCCCGGCGGCGTGTGAGCCCCTCTGGTCCTTGGTTTCCCGGCGTGAGGATCGGGGACAGCGGTTTCTGGTCCTTGCCCCGGGGGATCCGCAGCGTCCCCATCGTACAGCCGAGGAGGCTGAGCCCCGGAACGATGACCTTGGCGTGCAAAGGCCTGCTTTCCCGCTAGGGTATCCGGTCGGGCGGAGGCACGGTCCACTGCACTGGCCTGGAGCGCTAGCGCCGCTTCTGCTGGATCGGGGTGTGTCCAAGCGCCGCCGTCCCGGGGAAGGACCCCGAGAGCGGGTCGGGCTGGTAGCGCGTGGGTTCTTGATTTCCTGCAGGAATATTTCACCGCGTGAGTCCTGGTGACTCAGAGTCCGTTCATTGCAGCCGGGGGCAGTGCCACAGGGACGGGCTTGGGGGAGAAGGAGCAGCGGGAGAGACGGGCGGGGCCGCTTTGGCTCCGGGAAACGCCGTGGGAGGGAGGGAGCCAACGGGCTGCTGCCCGCTCGGTGAGTGTCCGAGCAAAGCGGGCCTTGGGGACGGGGTCCGGGGGAGCTCAGGACGAGCGCCCCTGGTTGCAAGTGTCGAGAGGACACAGGATTGTAGGAGAGTCTGACTCCGTGTGAGCTTCGGGCTGCACAGCAGGGTCTGGGTC